AGCACCTTAAACTGCGACGATATTCCGTCCAACATTGCTTTCGCCTGTACATATTGTACTTGCTGTAGTAAGATCCAAAAAGTATAAAAAAAGGGGCCATGACTATAAACAGCAATAACGGCGCTGTCCATGTGCTTTCCTAATTCAAGTGCACGAAAAGATCTTGTTTTGTGAGCTTATTCGACAAATCTTGGTGACTTCTTAAACAGTCCGAAAGATGGAAAGAAAAAAATGTATATTTAAGCGATAAAATATGTTTTCATTAGTTAATAATAAATTTATTGTTCTGTATTAACTTAATAAGAAAATTGATGCACATTCATTGTTATCATAGACATGTATATGTAAATATAGAATGTCACTTCTTTTTTTTTTAAATTCTTAACTTTCGTATTTAGTATTGTTTTAATGAAGAAAATCTCCATTGTTCATTAAGAAGGAAAAAAAAACAGTCACGTGAATCAGATCCATAAACTTTAAACTTGATTCTGGGACCTTTTATTACCGTAACGTTCAATTTGACAGATGTCGATGTTTACTCCAAAATATACAAATTAAATAATAATTAAAATGGTTCAGTTCTATTTGAGTTTTGTTTCATAAAGCTTCGAGTAGAGGCAGTGGTAGAAAATCAGCAGCTGTTGTGGCAGTGATGAAAATAAGCAGCTGTTGTGACAGTGGTGGAAAGTCAATAGCTGTTGTGACAGTGGTGGAAAATCAACAGCTGTTGTGGCAGTGGTGGAAAATCAGCAGCTGTTGTGGCAGTGGTGGAAAATCAACAGCTGTTGTTGCAGTGATGGAAAATCAGCAGCTGTTGTGGCAATGGTGGAAAATCAGCAGATGCTGTGGCAGTGGTGGAAAATCAGCAGCTGTTGTGGCAGTGGTGGAAAATCAACAGCTGTTGTGACAGTGATGGAAAAATAACAGATGTTGTGGCAGTGGTGGAAAATCAACAGCTGTTGTGGCAGTGGTGGAAAATCAGCAGCTGCTCTGACAGTGGTGGAAAGTCAACAGCTGTTATGACAGTGGTGGAAAATCAGCAGCTGATGTGACATTGATGGAAGTCAACAGCTGTTGTGACAGTGGTGGATAATCAGCAGCCGTTATGTGACAGCGGTGGAAAATCAGCAGCTGTTGTGACAGTGGTGGAAAATCAGCAGCTGTTGTGGCAGTGGTGGATAATCAGCAGTTGTTGTGGCATGGATGGAAAATCAGCAGCTGTTGTGACAGTGGTCGAAAGTCAACAGGTGTTGTGACAGTGGTGGATAATCAGCAGTTGTTGAGGCAGTGATGGGAAATCGGCAGCTGTTGTGATAGTGGTGGAAAGTCAACAGCTGTTGTGACAGTGGTGGAAAATCAGCAAGAAAATCAACAGCTGTTGTGGCAGTGGGTGAAAATCAGCAGCTGTTGTGGGAGTGATGGAAAATCAGCAGCTGTTGTGGCAGTGGTGGAAAATCAGCAGCTGTTGTAGCAGTGATGGAAAATCAGCAGCTGTTGCTTCAGTGGAGGAAAATCAGCAGCTGTTGTGGCCGTGATGGAAAATCAGCAGCTGTTGTGGCAGTTGTGGAAAATCAGCAGCTGTTGTGGCAGTGGTAGAAAATCAACAGCTGTAGTAGCAGTGGTGGGCAGTTAGCAGCTGTTGTGGCAGTGGTTAAAAATCAGCAGCTGTTGTTGCAGTGATGGAAAATCAGCAGCTGTTGTGACAGTGGTGGAGAGTCAACAGCTGTTGTGACAGTGGTGGTCAATCAGCAGCTGTTATGTCAGTGGTGGAAAATCAGCAGCTGTTGTGACAGCGTGGAAAATCAGCAGCTGTTGAGACAGTGGTGGATAATCAGCAGCTGTTATGGCAGTGGTGGAAAATCAGCAGCTGTTGTGACAGCGGTGGAAAATCAGCAGCTGTTGTGGCAGTGGTGGAAAATCAGCAGCTGTTGTGACAGTGGTGGAAGATCAGCAGCTGTTTTGGCAGTGGTGGAAAATCAGCACCTTTTGTGACAGTGGGGGACAATCAGCAATGTTGTGGCAGTGGCGAAAAATCAGCAGCTGTTGTGGCATTGGTTGTAAATCAGCAGCTGTTGTGGCAGTGATGGAAAATCAGCAGCTGTTGTGGCAGTGATGGAAAATCAGCAGCTGTTGTGGCAGTGGTGGAAAATCAACAGCTGTTGTGACAGTGGTGGAAAATTAACAGCTGTTGTGACAGTGTTGGATAATCAGCAGCTGTTATGACAGTGATGGGAAATTAAAAGCTGTTGTGACAGTGGTGGAAAATTAACAGTTGTATTAATAATAGAGGATTATTTTGATATGGTTAATGATAACACTGCACTTTCTTGTGACAATGTACGGCAATGTATAGTGTGTGATATCCCTGCATTAAAAACCAGTATACCCCCGATCAGAGATGGTATGAGTATTGTACAAAGTCTTTGTGTAAAATGTTACAACCCTTTTTGAGATTTGGCCAAGGAACTCAAATAGCTTATGGTTTGTCATGGACGTGTTTGAGTGATGTTGAACATTCTGCAACATCAGTAGAACGAATAAGGAGGTCTTTTCAAATAGTGGTAGATCTAAGGTTATTCGATTCATTAAAGGGACAACCTCGTTTAGATGCAACATTCAGACAGCACATTCTTCGAGTATGCATACATCTTGTTAGTGGCCTCCGGCTTGATACGCTCTCTCTCTCTTTCTCTCTCTCTCTCTCTCTCTCTCTCTCTCTCTCTCTCTCTCTCTCTCTCTCCATTTTATTTTTGTATCGAATAGTTGTATAAGAAGTATAACATACCATGGCGAATTTTTTTCTTGTATCCAGTTACTTTTTCAAATGGATGTGCATATTGATGTCTAGTGATAGTTTAATATATATATAGACAGGTTTCTTTGTACCGTAATATCTGTGAATCGTGTGTCTTTGTAATTTACATCTATATCGGTTTTCACATCAGTTTTAGTCATTTCTGCTATAGATTCCGTTGTTTGTCTTGTTTTATAAAAAGGAGGATACAAGTTCTCAATATGATATTGTTCTTGTACTGATTGACATATTAACATAATATTTTTTTTTATATAATCTCGTGTTCATACTGATATGTAAGTATGCATCAAGAGTTTTTTTTTATAGTTCCAACATTCTTTTGGGTTTAAATAATCTATAATGAATTTCATCATGGACCTGGTGTTAACGTCACATTACTTATTTCTCCTTCGTTCTTTGTACTATTCTAACAAATCTTTCCCTAAAATATCTTTAAATGTTGTCATATATTGTTGCATAGCTAAATATCAAATATGAATATTTTTTTGATAATTTCCGTAGATAAAGATTTTTTTTCTTCATTTTCTTACATGCTGGAAGCGGGGGTATACATCACTTATCTCTGGCGATCATGCATAAATATGACTAGCTGAATTGCTGGAACACTCACAGAGCATGATTCCATAGAAAGATTTTCTCATTTATAATGATGGACTACTGAGAATTGTCCAAAATGTCCAAATATTGCGATTTTTTTATAAAATCCACCCTTTTGACCTTTGACCACAGTTTTCAAAATTCTGCACCAGTTTGACACTCTACGACATGCCTTATTCAAAGGGTATTATATTTATCTTCAAAATAAGACTAAAATTGACCATAATGTATTTCGTAGATTTACCTTACTTGTCACCATAATATTATGTCCATCACAAGGTCAAGCATACGACTATTGATAAAGACTTCATAATGAAGGCTATGATAACAGATGATATGTGACATGTCATCATTTGTTGTATGGATGTTAGTACACATGAACTAACCTTTCAGTGTTTCTGCATGGGCTTGCCAATTACTAAGCGAATGGGGAGGGGGGATTGGGTAAGAAATAACATAACACACAAAATAATCCAAATTACTTTTGCCGATTTTGGCATAGACCGAATCATACTCAACAAAACCACTAGAGGGGGTTTCACATGGCAAAGGGAAATTAAACAAACTCTCAGTATGATTTTAATTTTAGTTCATTTATATGTTATGGAGTTTAGAATGGCGTCCAATTTCACTAAACTATTACACATTTTTGTTCAGGGGCCCGCTGGAGCCCGCCTTTTGCTGTATTGCAGACCCGTTGGTGGCCCTCGGCTGTTTTCTGCTCTTTGGTCGGGTTGTTTTCTCTCTAATTCTCAATTTTATTATTACGCCCTGTTCCAATTTACAATTATAGAAAAACGAAGTTATGAGTAAGTTCTATAATATTATATAAAAAATACTGTATATAAAATTCTCACTGCATTCCTTAAATTTTCATTGGTCACTGACAAATAAAGGCGAAAGATACCAAACTGGACATTAAAACTCATAACTCGAAAATAAACTGACAACGCCATGGCATAAATAGCAAAATTACCAACAGACAAAAAACATTCCTTTTGATGTAACTTTCATCTCGTGAACAGATATTCGTGTCTGCCCGTTGTAAAGATAAAAATAAGGAGATGTGGAATGATAGCCAATGAAACAACTATCCACCAAATTCAACATATAGTCAGCTATAAAAGGCTCAGACATGAAAATATGAAATAATTCAATTGAGATCCGGCTAACGGACAAATTTATAACAAAACAAAATACGAAAAACAAATATGAACAAACGACAAAACAGACTCCTGACAGGCACATACAGAATGTTTGTGAGCGCTCAACTCTCCCATAATCTTGAACAGTGGTGTTTCAGTATAACATAGAAACAAAATATCAAAATCAGTTGAAAAGACTGTACTGTTTCACCCTAAATACTGAAGTAGATACAAATTTCCGAAGAAGATAAACACATTACTAGTATTTATGTAACATATGTATATAGCTGCCAAAGAATTTGACCTTAAACTTATCAAGGACTTGATGTTGGTCAGTTATATCACATTTTTTTATCTTGTCACCAGGTTATGTCTTAAGATTTAAACGTGGACTGATCGCGAGCTGTTTATCTCGTGACCGTTGTATATAAAATTGATGACCAGTGCTGACGAGAGGGACACTAAGGATCACTGGTCAACTGTAAACACTGAACATAACTACAATGAAGCTCATTTGTTTTGGTTTGCTTGCCTGCCTGGCTATTCCTGCTCTTGGCGATAATCTAGTACAGTTAGCTACCAAACTAGGAGCAAAAACATTAGTTGAGTTTGTGACAGAGGCCGGTCTAGCAGACACCCTTGCAAATGGAGGTATAGTTATGTATAATATATAAAAATATAATTAAACTGCAGGTCGACGATTAATTTGTATAAGTTTCCATATTAATGTAGCAAAATCAGAATTCAGATTAAATCCACTGACTTGTTTGTTACATAATACAGAAAAGTAATACAGTAAAATGGGGTGCCTCATCTTTATAGATTTTGAATACTATACCAGACTACAAAGAATTGTATGGGTGGCAGAACTAGCTATAAGATATGGTGTGAGCGTATCTAAAAGTTGAGAGACAATAATTTATTAAGACCTTGTTGATAAATATTCCGAACCAACTTCACAAACAATACCAATGGTGAGAGGTTTAGCTAGCTATAAAACCATGTTTAATCTACCATTTCCACGTACGAAATGTCTGTTCAAAGTCAAGATTATGACAGCTGTTATCCATTGAAAAGTTTGAGCTTTTGATTTTTCCCTTTGATTGGGGATTTTCCGTTTTGAATTTTCTTCGGGGTTCGGTATTTTTGTTGTTTTACTTTTTATTTATAACGAAAAAATATAGAAAAACTCCTTTTTTAAACGGTCTAACAATGCAAATTTATATTATTTACGGACTTTAAAGACTAACACAATATAGTATAATACTCTTTACCGGTTTTCGTTTCTTAATTTATTATGCGTGTAAACTGTTTGAAAGAGTAGAGGTTTCCCAACCCGCTCAGCCGCTTGTGTTCATGAAAACATGTTTTTGATGATTCTGTAAGAAACAAAGTACATATATATAACATCGTCTGAAGCTGACTATTTTGATTTCGAGCTCGACATATGAGGTTCTGGATGGGGAGTCTTTATTTATGTATTCATTATTTTTGATTTTATCTTTTTCTGTATTTTTTTTTATAGTTTTTGCCCATTATATATTCTGTGTTTTTTTTAAATTTTGTACGCCATTGTTCTCTTATTTGTAATTTTGCCTTATTTTTCCTTCCTTGATTGATTCTATAATATTTTTTTGCCATTATTCTGCACATTTTATCCGTTATTTTCTATTCTGTAAACCCCGTCCAGACATTCACATATTAATTATTGGTACTTTTCTGTTACCGAATCTGTTATGCCTGTGTCTTTATGAGTTTTTTTTGTAACAATAAGTTTTATTCATCCTTGATGCATACCCAACATCTTCTAAACATATTATTTACATTTATATCTCGATAATTCAATGGAAAAAGTAAAATATTGAACCAGTTACTTTTTTGGACTGTCTTTTTCAAATGGTATTTTCGACTTCTTTTCAGGATCAAAAGGACTATGGGGCATTTCATTGGCCGTACTCCCAAATGCAAATAACGTCACTGGTTATTTACCCACGGTTGTGGACGTTGATAGTCAATCACAACGTAGACTGGTTCCCGATCGCAATATTCAGTATGTTATTCATATGCAAAAATAACTGCGTATGGCTTTCAGCTAATACCTGGAGCGTAGTACCGGGAACCAGGATAATCTGAACGTTTCAATGATTTACCATTTGGAAAATATTACCCAGAATACCAAAGAAACGACGAATTTTCATACTAATATCTTTCTTTCTCTGCTGTTGCACCAAATATTATATTAAATATTTATAAACATGTCAGTAGTTTTAAATATTTGTTTTATAATTTTTTTCAGGACCCTTCACTGTGTTTGGACCAACTGATGATGCTTTCAACAAATTACCAAGTAAAGTAGTAAAAATGTTAAAAGAGGACAAAAAACTGCTAGCTGACGTACTGAAGTTCCACGTCCTGAACGGCAAAGTATTTTCATCACAGCTGTCCAATGAACTTACTGCTCCTTCACTAAACCCATTGGCTAAAGTCCGTATCAACATTTACCAAGGCGGAAAGGTAATAAGAGGATTTTGTGGGAATGTTCTGATAACGATAGAAATTAATGAGTTATGAATGAGTCTATAAGGTTTTTGATACTATGGTAACTGTAGCGTGTAAAATCCACGTAGTAATATATAATTTGCAACTAGTATATGAAAATGAAAATACCACAAAGCGTTTTTTTTTCTCTGTATACATGTATGTATATCCTTTATCATAAAAGCTCAAAACCAAACAAATTAAAGCCAAGAATTTATAAAAACCTGAACACCTTGAAAATATTACTTTCCGATTGTGTCCCTTTGACTGAGATTGCAATTCATATGGCGGGTGATATATGCCTAGTAGGAGAATCTCATCCTGTCGATGTACCCGGTCTCGCTTCTTTAAGAGTTCGTGCCGTTCCCTTATTTTTGTTTGTTTGTTACCTTAATTCGTCTTGTCCTAATGGATTTACGATATTTGATCATCCATAATTATACTACTGGGCCCGTATGCATAAAGCTACTTAGGTACAGATTTGTTCCGAACGGACTGATTTTTCTACATGTCCTACGATCGCGATAAATCAGTACTACGATTGGATATCTTAACTTAAGTGGTTTTATGCATACGGGCCCTGTTCCTAAACTTAGCAATATTGGCTACTAGATTATCGTAGCAGTTGGGAGGTAACCAGGTTTCCGGGGGAGAACTATATCGATCTTCGATAGGAAAATTGGAAATCCTAGTCAATTGAGCTAGAAGTCGAATATGCAGGGTTCTATGTGACAACCCCAGTACTGACAGGCTTGTGATACTGTAGATTAAGTAGTTTGGCCAGTCGGCTACCGTTTGTCTCGTACAATTTTTCATTCTTCTCCTATGTCACTTTAAAATAGAGAATGGACAAGGAAAATGTGTCACAGAGAAAACAACTGTGTATATTTTGTGTTTAATTGACAGGTGATAACAGCAACCGGAAGCCCTGTAGTGTTACCAGACCAGAATGCTACCAATGGAGTCATCCATGTTATAGATAGAGTCATGTTTCCTCTACCATTAGTGTCGGTAACAGGAATGGTAGGAATGGATCCTAAGTTGTCTACTCTCCTCACAGCTGTCAAGGCTGCCGATCTCGTACAAACGCTCTCCGGTAAATATATATTTCCCTTCCTAGTATAAATGTATATCAATAACAAACTGTTCAAAAATTGCAACTTTAGATCTAAATGTCTAATATAAAAAAAAAAAAAAAAAAGAAGAGGGATTATGTACAATAACTTCTTAATAAATCGTGTTTTATTTTAAAGAAAAATGGCTGATTACACTGTCAGTTTAGCATCTCTGTCTTTTCGACATGCCATTCGGAACAAGAATGCGCTAGGCTGAGGCACAGCTTCAAATCGCTATTGTGTGATATATATATATATGTATATATATATATATATATACAAGTCTAAATTGAAAACAACGTTCAAACCTATGATTGCGTTGGATAAAAACCGCAATTTCTATACGTGTGCATGCAAAACAATTTTCTTGTTAGAGGGGTCTAAATACAGCACAAACAACATTTTCCAAAAGACCAAAAAAGTGAAAAAGTATATTTTAACAAAACGCATTTGACTAACAGGTCGAACAACAGATGTTCTTAAACCCTGCCGACTGCCATTGGCGATTACCAAATAAACGGATCACAAGATGTTACAAAATAGATCTTTAAAAATTTATAAATTTAACACCAAACAGAAAACAATAAACTTGCGGAAAAGATGGTATACCGCAAACAAAAGGTGCAAAAATTAGTACACCATATCCGGATTTCGACAATTAATGTCTCTTCAGTGATGTTAGAAATCGAAACGGTATTTGGAAGGCCATATAATTTACCTCATTTTAGGATAGACTCTTGAATTTTGAAAGAGTCAAAATAGGATGAACGGATCATATAAACCCGAAGGCAAATATAATACAAGCCCAAACGAAAAAATATAAACAAGTCTAAATTGAAAACAACGTTCAAACCTATGATTGCGTTGGATAAAAACCGCAATTTCTATACGTGTGCATGCAAAACAAATTTCTTGTTAGAGGGGTCTAAATACAGCACAAACAACATTTTCCAAAAGACCAAAAAAGTGAAAAAGTATATTTTAACAAAACGCATTTGACTAACAGGTCGAACAACAGATGTTCTTAAACCCTGCCGACTGCCATTGGCGATTGCCAAATAAACGGATCACAAGATGTTACAAAATAGATCTTTAAAAATTTATAAATTTAATACCAAACAGAAAACAATAAACTTGCGGAAAAGATGGTATACCGCAAACAAAAGGTGCAAAAATTAGTACACCATATCCGGATTTCGACAATTAATGTCTCTTCAGTGATGTTAGGAATCGAAACGGTATTTGGAAGGCCATATAATTTACCTCATTTTAGGATAGACTCTTGAATTTTGAAAGAGTCAAAATAGGATGAACGGATCATATAAACCCGAAGGCAAATATAATACAAGCCCAAACGAAAAAATATAAACAAGTCTAAATTGAAAACAACGTTCAAACCTATGATTGCGTTGGATAAAAACCGCAATTTCTATACGTGTGCATGCAAAACAAATTTCTTGTTAGAGGGGTCTAAATACAGCACAAACAACATTTTCCAAAAGACCAAAAAAGTGAAAAAGTATATTTTAACAAAACGCATTTGACTAACAGGTCGAACAACAGATGTTCTTAAACCCTGCCGACTGCCATTGGCGATTGCCAAATAAACGGATCACAGATGTAACACAATGGATCTTAATTATATTAATTTAATACCAAACAGAAAACAATAAACTTGCGGAAAAGATGGTATATCGCAAACATGAGGTGCAAAAATTTGTACACCATATCCGGATTTCGACAATTAATGTCTCTTCAGTGATGTTAGGAATCGAATATATATGGCTTTAAGAAACATTTTACAAGTTTTATTATTTTTTTTAGGCGATGGTCCATTCACCCTATTTGCTCCCACAAATGAAGCCTTCCAGAAATTGCCCGCTGGAGTATTGGCCAATCTTTTAAAGAATAAGACAGCTTTGGCCGACGTCTTGACATATCACGTTGTTTCTGGAACGTTCTATAGCGCTGGGTTAACAAATGGAATGTCAGCAACAACAGTCGAAGGGAAACCAGTCACGATCACCATTAGTGGAGGTTTGTTTAATATTTTTTAATCCATTGAGTTTGTTTCTTCTTTATCGTACGTGTATTCTTAGTTAGTATGTGTATTCTTGTCAAATGATAAAAGTACGAGTGTGTGTAGGATGATTAGAGACAAAAACTATTTTGAAGGATTCAGAACAGAGATTATTTTCAATGGCTACCCATTCGAAATTATAACCGGTTGAAAAGAAATCCGTTTTCTTTGTGAACCTTTCAAAAATGTAATTGGTAAATATGCATATTTAGAGTTTATTGGTAAATATGCATATTGAGTGTTTAGCAACAATCATGTATATATTTAGTGTATATATAGGGACTTACATGCATACATTGAGTCTTTAGCTGCGAATACATGTATATTTGGTGTTTAGCGGTAAATAAGTATATTGAGGGTTTAGCGGTAAATATGTATATTGAGTGTTTAGCGGTAAAATGTATATTTAATTTTAAAATACAAATATGAATATTTAACCACTAATTATTTTTGATTGGACTCACCTTTATTTTTATAGGAAAAGTTATGGTTGGAAAGTCCACTGTAGAAAAAGCCGATGATGCAGTGTCCAATGGAGTTGTTCATATCATCGACACCGTACTTATTCCACCTGCCCTTAGATCAACAATTCTTCCATGAAGAAATCCTTGATGCAGTGAAGAGTATTACTCACATTTGTAATTTATCAATTCTTCAATGAAGTGAATGTACAGTTTTTATTTATATTAAAATGACTTTTGTTATATAATATACATGGTTAATGGTTAATGTGATTTTTGTAATACTAATGAAAATATACAAAATGTGTGTCGTTTATGACAATGATAAAATGTGGTATGAATATATGCCAATGAGAAAGCTATGAAAGGCGCCGACATGACAAAATGACAAAATGAAAATTAATTTGAAAAGAAAAAAATATTTACTAGTACAAAACAATAAACAAAAAACAAAATATGAAAACAGCAACATACGACAATCACTGAACTACAGGCACCTGAATTGGAACAGGCACACAGAGAATGTGGCGAACTTAAACATGTTCGCGGACACCCAACCCTCCCCTAACGCAGACAGTGATGTGACACCACAGCACAAAACCAATGGAGTATTCAGATATCACTCTCCGTCCATAACTTGCTTCTGAATAGCTATATATGAAAAATAGAAGACAAACAACCCATCAACAAAAATAATCGAAGAACACTTGTAGAACATTATACAGTCTTAAACAAAGACAGTAGTCAAAGCGCAAGCTCTAACTCGGATGGGCCGCCCGTGCAAGACCCTCACGGGTAGTCAAGGTCGTTATAAACCACCCTCATCATAAATCTAGTGAACGAATTTAACAAAAACAATCTAAAATCCGCCATCAATACCGGGTCTTCGAATAACGAAAAACATAAAGATAGGATGTACTAGTATAACCGAAAGATTTCCGACTTGGCACACGAGAAATACTTCGAGGGTTATAAGTTAATCTAATGCTGATATCCCAACAGACCTTTCTTACTTTGACTAGTATCGTAAATACTACTGAACATAAGATAAACAGTGTAATATAAATTTAAGAAGACTCGATATGATTGCCAATGAGAAATTTCCACAAAAGTCCAAATGACGTAGAAGTCAACAGCTATAGGTCACTGTACAGCCTTAAAAATAAGCAAATCTCATGTCAAATAGCAGCAGACTTCAACAATGGGCAACACTCGTATATCAAATAGCAAACTATTAAGTGCTCCTCATGACTAAGGTAAAACAATTCAAAGAAAAAACTAACGTCAAATAAAACATTATTTACACATCAACAATCGAAAAAAAAAAATATATACAACAACAAACAACAGCAAACAGGCTCCTGAATTGGAACTAGCACATACAGAATGCTTAACTTATTTACATAACCCTATCCATAACCATGGACGGTGGTGTAACAGCTTAAGAACAAGCTATAAATTTTACTTTAAAATTGAGAATGGAAATGGGGAATGTGTCAAAGAGACAACAACCCGACCAAAGAGCAAAATGCAGCCGAAGGCCACCAATGGGTCCTCAACACAGCAAGAAAAACCCGCACCCGACGGCTTTATTCAGCTGACCCCTAAACAAAAATGTGTACTAGTTCAGTGATAATGGACGCCATATTAAACTCCAAAGCATATAAATGAAATAAAATAAAAAATCATACAAGACTAACAAAGGCCAGAGGCTCCTGACTTGAGACAGGCGCAAAAATGCGGCAGGGTTAATAGATATAAGAAGATGTGGTATGAGTGCCAATGAGACAACTCTCCATTCAAGTCACAATTTATAAAAGTAAACCATTATAGGTCAAAGTACGGTCTTCAACACGGAGCCTTGGCTCGCAACGAACAGCAAGCTATAAAGGGCCCCAAAAATTACTAGTATAAAACCATGCATTCAAACGGGAAAACCAACGGTCTAATATATATAAAAAAAACGAGAAACGAGAAACACTTATAAACCACATCAACAAACGACAACTACTGAACATCAGATTCCCGACTTAGGACAGGTGCAAACAATTGCAGCGGGTTTAAACGTTTTAATGGTACCAAACCTCCACCCTTATCTGAAACAATAGTGTAACATAACAACATAGAAAGACACACTATAAAATATCAATTGAAATGGCTTCACTCAATCAAAAGACATAATAACACAAGTGGACATACACTGAACGAATAAATGTTTTTTGTGAAATCTCACCCTCCCCATATACCTCTAGCCAATGTAAAAAACAAACAAACACACAACAATACGCACAGTAAAACTAAGTTTAAAAGAAGTCCGAGTCTGATGTCAGTATATGTAACAAAAGAAATTAAGTAAAATTTCAATAACTATTAAATTAACAAAGGACTACTAGCAGTAACTGACATGCCAGCTCCAGACCTCAATTAAACTGATTGAAAGATTATGTCTTCATCATATGAAAATCAAGCACAATCCCTCCCGTTAGGAGTTAAGTATCATACCATCATAAAATATATGAGAAGGACATGCATAACCCGTATCATGCCAACATATGGAACGCCATAGCTGTCTTATGTGGCATGAGCTATTATATGCTGTGGATATTTCATTATATGATGGTGCTTTTTTATTATGTGATGGTACTTTCGTATTATACGATGGTGCTTTTTTTATTATGTGATGGTGCATTTGTATTATAGGATGGTGTTTTTTTATTATGTGATGGTGCTTTTGTATTATATGATGGTGCTTTTTATTATATTGTGGTGCTTTTTTATTATGTAATGGTGCTTTTGTATTATAAGATGGTGCTTTTGTATTATGTGATGGTGCTTTTGTATTATAAGATGGTGCTTTTTTTATTATGTGATGGTGCCTTTTTATTATATGGGTGGTGCTTTTTTATTATGTGATGGTGCTTTTGTATTATAAGATGGTGCTTTTTTTAATTATGTGATGGTGCTTTTTTAGCTCACCGGGGCCCGAAGGGCCCCATGTGAGCTTATACCATCACTTGGCGTCCGTCGTCGTCCGTCGTCGTCGTCTGTCGTCGTCGTCTGTCGTCGTAAACTATTTCAAAAATCTTCTCCTCTGAAACTACTGGGCCAAATACCTTCAAACTTTAATTAAATGTTTCTTAGGGTATCTAGTTTATACATTGTATCCGAAGTTTTGATTCATTGACAAACATGGCCGCCATGGCTAAAAATAGAACATAGGGGTCAACTGCAGTTTTTGGCTTATATCTCAACAACTAAAGCTTTTAGGTAAAATTGTTCAATTGGTCAAGATCTATCAGCTCTGAAATTTTCAGACGAATCGAACAACCCATTGTTGGGTTGCTGCCACAGAATTGGTAGTTTTAACAAAGTTTTGCAGTTTTTTGTAATTATTTTGAATATTATTATAGATATATATAAACTGTAAGCAGCAATAATGTTCAGCAAAGTAAGATCTACAAAAAGTTAATATGACCATAATTGTCAATTGACCCCTAAAGGAGTTATTGCCCTTTAAAGACAATTTTACACAATTTGTTCATCAAGTTTGCTAACATTTAAAAATCTTCTCCTCTGAAACTACTGGGCCAATTACCTTCAAACTTTAACTAAATATTTTTTAGGGTATCTTGTTTATAAATTGTATCCGAAGTGCGTATCCATTGACAAACATGGCCGCCTTGGCTAAAAATAGAACATAAGGGTCAAATGCAGTTTTTGGCTTATATCTCAAAAACTAGATCTTTTAGAGCAAATGTGACATGGGGGTAAAATTGTTTAATTGGTCAAGATCTATCGGCCCTGAAATTATCAGACGAATCGAACAACCCATTGTTGGGTTGCTGCCACCGAATTGGTAGTTTTAACAAAATTTTGCAGTTTTTTGTTATTATTTTAAATATTATTAAAGATATATATAAACTGTAAGCAGCAATAATGTTCAGCAAAGTAAGATCTACAAAAAAGTTAATATGACCAAAATTGGCAATTGACCTCTAAGGAGTTATTGCCCTTTAAAGACAATTTTACACAATTTGTTCATCAAGTTTGCTAACATTTAAAAATCTTCTCCTCTGAAATACAGGTGAGCGATTCAGGCTCTTGAGAGCCTCGTCTTATTATATGATGACGGTTCCGGTGTTGTCTATAAAATGTCGGTCAAAGTGACCCAATTGTTGCATGACCATACTTTACTACCGAAGACGTGTCCACTGATGAAGTTTTATGGCTATGGGATGTATAGTACCCTAGATTCAGAGCTAAACTGAAAAAAATACCAAAGTCACTATAGCGTAAAATGTAGGTCAAAGTGACCCAATTGTTGCCTTGCTGTACTTTACTACCGAACACATATCCATTGATGAATTTTAATTGCTATGGGATGTATATTATACCCTAGATTTAGAGCTAAACCAAGACATTAACCAAAGTCACTAGCGTAAAATATAGGCCAAAAAGACCTAGTTGTTGCATGGCTGTACTTTACTACCTTAGTCGTATCCACTGATGAAGTTTCATTGATTGCTATTGGATGTATAGTACCCTAAATTTAGAGCTAAACCAAAAATTTAATCCAAGTCACTGAAGCGTAAATTAAGGTCAAAGTGACCCAATTGTTGCATGGCCGTATTTTATCCACTGATAAAGTTTCATTACTATGGGATGCATAGTACCCTAGATTTAGAGCGTGACAAACCGAAGGACAAAATACCAAACGTTATATCCCCACGTCAACTTTGTTGGGAGAGTAAAAGTAATAAAAGTAGGTCACGAGGACAACGTTATCTTGACATTCTAAAATAGTGGGGATAAAAGCGGGAACAAGTTTTAGGATTGTAAGATCCAAGAACACAACAGGATTACATTTTTTATATTTAAAATTCATTAGGAAAATAAATGTGAAACTGAATTATTTCCCAATTTCACAAAAAATTATTTTTTGGCAAACATTGTTATCATTTATACAATTTATTAAAACTATTTTTGATTAATGACTTGCATATGTTTTTTACTACATTTGTGTAATTCTGTTGTGTTCTTGGATCTTACAATCCTAAAACTATTTTTGAAATAATAGCAAAATACATCTCTAGTTAACTTGTTAAAAACTGCAGTATTTATCTGTATAATTTTTAAGTTGGTTTCAAATGTTTACCACTTTTACGTCCTTGATTTAGCTAATAAATTAACTACAATGATCGACTTTGTTTAAGTATGCCATATTTATACACATCATGTCATATTGTAAAAAAAAATATAACAGTATGCAAGTCTGGTAATTGGCACGTGACTTCAACATCAGCTTCACAATCCAGTGACTTGTTGAGCTAACATGCTAAGTCCTTTTATCACTAACTGTGCCACTGTGGTACTTAGAAAATTGCATTGTAACCTTCTTTTCAATAACCACCAATCCACACTGGACCAAACTTGGAGTAAAATGTTCCATGGATGGTCTTATCATATATTTGTGTTATTGGAGCAAATCCAGAATCAACACTTTTGATAGTACAATTTCAAGCCGATTTACCAAAAAATGGAAATCAGTTATTGGTTTAATAAAGGAGGGCAACATCTTTTGTTTCCGCTTTTATCCCCACTATTTTAGAATGTCAAGATAACGTTGTCCTCGTGACCTACTTTTATTATCCCCTCTCCCAACAAAGTTGACGTGGGGATATAACGTTTGGTATTTTGTCCTTCGGTTTGTCACGCTCTAAATCTAGGGTACTATACATCCCATAGTAATGAAACTTTATCAGTGGATAAAATACGGCCATGCAACAATTGGGTCACTTTGACCTTAATTTACGCTTCAGTGACTTGGATTAAATTTTTGGTTTAAAATTAGCTCTGAATTTAGGGTACTATACATCCAATAGCAATCAATGAAACTTCATCAGTGGATACGACTAAAGTAGTAAAGTACAGCCATGCAATAACTAGGTCTTTTTGGCCTACATTTTACGCTAGTGACTTTGGTTAATGTCTTGGTTTAGCTCTAAATCTAGGGTATAATATACATCCCATAGCAATTAAAATTCATCAGTGGATATGTGTTTGGTAGTAAAGTATAGCCAGGCAACAGTCGGGTCACTTTGACCTACATTTTACGCTATAGTGACTTTGGTATTTTTTTCAGTTTAGCTCTGAATCTAGGGTACTAAACATCCCATAGCCATAAAACTTCATCAGTGGACACGTCTTCGGTAGTAAAGTATGGTCATGCAACAATTGGGTCACTTTGACCTACATTTTATAGACAACACAAGAACCGCCATCATATGATAAAAAAGCATCATCACATAATAAAAAAGCACCATCTTATAATACAAAAGCACCATCACATAATAAAAAAGCACCACCCATATAATAAAAAGACACCATCACATAATAAAAAAGCACCATCTTATAATACAAAAGCACCATCATATAATAAAAAAGCACCATCTTATAATACAAAAGCACCATCACATAATAAAAAAGCACCATCGTATAATTCGAAAGTACCATCACATAATAAAAAAAGCACCATCATATGGTAAAAAAACACCATCATATAATGAAATATCCACAGCATATAATAGCACATGCCACATAAGACAGCTATGGCGTTCCATACCAACAACTGGTTTTATAATAAATGTGTTTATTTCCGATAAAAGATCCTATGAGTGAATCAATATTAATACCAATATATGGCATCTTTAATGACCTGACAACAGTATCGTAACTTTATCCGTTTTTAATAAGTCTGTTTAAAGGTTTGGTTAGCTTTTGATGTGAATGCCGACATTTTTGTGCTTTGTAAAGAATATTACCCATGTTGATTTATATTTACGAATGATGTCCTTGTACCGATGATAAAATTTAGTAAGTGTTTTGACTAGTTTGTGATATCGAAAACCCTGGTGTAATAGTTTTTCAGTAATACATAGCTAGATTTCTTTTGTTAAAATCAAATACGTTGTTACATACACGAGCGAATCGAACAAGTTGAGATAAATAAACACCATACGTTTAGTTCATTTTGTCCTTTTTTTTTTATATCTATCGTTCAAGATTAACGGTCTCTGCTAAGATAAAGACGAAAATTCGGTACATTATAACGAGTCCACGAAGTTTTAATTGTTTCTTTTTAACTTTCCGTAATTTGAATATCTATTTTAGTAGGTTATTGATAAGTATGGGAATTTGATTCAAATCGAAAACGATTGATTAATTGTTGGTTGCTTAATATGTATCCAGTTGCAAATAGTTCAGGCATATCAAGGACGATAAAATAAAGTCTACAGCTTACGTCTCTCTAAATGTAACACCAAAGTCTACGCCTCAAGGTAGCTAGTTGATTTCTTTAAACAGGGTTATTTACTTTTTATGATTTATGACATACGGAAATGTACAATTTGAATACATACATACGTAATAAGACTGAAGTACTTCATTTCATTCTTCATAACAAAATTCTTTAGATTTGAATTTGTATTGAAATTCGGTGAATCATAACTTTCACATAATCGATCTTTTTAACTTAGTTTGTAATTCGTGCATCCATTAAAATCGTATTCAGCATGGACCCATTCTATAACGTTCAACATGCATAATAACATGTTATGAATAAAATTCATTTTTAAAATACTAAAGATGGACGTCAGGATGACAAATATTTATGTTTTATATTATTTTATTTTGTATAACGGTAAGATCCTACAATTCTTTAATACAGAAGTTATATCAAATTTGCTGTAACTCCAATCTGATTAAAATTAGAACTTTGATTTCGTTATGCCCTTCGACGAGTAGGCGAGTTACGATAGATCTGAATTTCAATCAGATTTTCTATAACACCTTTACTTTCTTAATTCTTGTTTCTTTTTTTGAAGCAATTTGAAGTTATTATGGCACCCTCAGCGGAGTTGCGGTGACATATTGTTATTCTACGCTTCTTTTATTTTTTTATTATTTTTATTATTCCGCACATTTTGTCCACACTAGTTCTCGGATTTGAATACCATAATGTGGGCCACTATGTGAAGTTATGCAAGAGACATAGGAATGGCTGAAAATGGCCACCGTTACAATAGAAACAGCAAAAATGCAAAAAAAATAAATTGCTCCAAAGTTAATGAAACTTCACACAAATGATAAATGGCATATGCAAATATTCGATTTGACTTTGAAATTTCCAAAATGGCCGCCTTTACCATGGAAACAGTAAAAATTTGAAAAATTGAAAAATTCTCAAAACTTTTAAAGTGGATGCTGTTGTAGTGGCAATTGGCGGCAAGGGTGCCATCCGCTATTGCTCGCAATGACAAATTTAGTTTCTACTCGTTTTGGTAGTTTTCAACCCTTCCCCGTTCATAATATCTGATTGATAACCAACGTGCTGAAAACCTGTAATGATGTTGCTTTCTACAAACAACGGGTTTAAAACGATCATATTATATTAAATGAATTGTTTTAAAAGTAATCCCCTTATTGATTTAAGAGGGCATGAAAGGGGAGAGAGGTTATTCATATCTGTATTTTGAATTTTTTAGAACATTTTTCTCTATTCATAATGTTTCTTGTCCATTATTCTCCATTCTTTATATTACACACATATGTTTCTCTATTTTTTGTCTATTTTTCCCCAATATTCTCTATTCAGTAAACAGATATTCATTTGACAACCAATTTCACCCTTTGACGTTCCTATCAAGTCATGCACATACAGAATGTATATCAATAATGTTCAAATACAATAAAGAAGATGTTTCGTATCCGTTGAAACACCACAGCAATAGAACAAACTGTAAAAAAACATTTGAAAAGGACTTGAATCCTAAAATCGACACAAAGTACAAGCAACAACTAACAAAAATACTACAGACGCAAAGTACCGACCTAGCAGTACTCGTATTTACTAAAAGAAAGTTCAAAGCCAAAAACATCAGAGAAATGTATGATATTTCCGAGACAAAAATATCAATCAGTACACATCCAATGGATTCAGCGTAAGATCATTTCTTCCAAGAATACAAGTGTTAAGTTAATATCTTCCAAGTATAGACATGTTAAGTTCATCTCTTCTAAATATATAAATGTTAAGTTGATAACATCCGAGTACACAAGTGTTAAGTTTATATCATCCAAATAAATTAGAGTTAAGTTTATCTCATCCAAGTATAAAAATAAGGAGATGTGGTATGATTGACAATAAGACAACTATCCACCAGAGTTCAAATGACGTGAATGTAAGCAACTTTAGGGTACCGTCCGGCCTTCAACAGTGAGAAAAAACCCTTCCGTTTATTTTGTCCTTTCATCCATTCTAGTAATACCAACACAAAGGAGGCATTTCTCTTACAAAATGATTTATTTAGTAAATGTGTTTGTCTTATTAAGAGGTATTACAAACATCAAGACAATACAATTTATTATAAAAATAAGGAGATGTGGTATGATTGCCAATGAGACAACTATCCACCAAAGTTCAAATGAAGTGGATGTAAGTAATTATAGGCAACCGTACGGCATTCAACAATGAGAAAACCCAAATTGTATAGTCGGCTATAAAAGGCCCCGACAAGATAAATATGAAACCTTTCAATTGAAAAACTAACGGCCTAATTTATAATGAAACAATTTACGAAAAACAAATATCACAAACATAAACCATCGACAACCGCTGAACTAGATGCTCCTGACTTGGATATATCAGTATGCCTCAGTATTTTTGTTCAAACTATTAGAATCCATAGACTATTTGCCAGATCGTGAATTGTAAATTATTTCAAGCTATATATCGTGTTCGATAGCATAAAAGACAATATGACTTTTAAGAGGGGAATAGCTAGTTCGTTATCCCTTCGAAACCAAATATTTTCCTGGGCCTTGTCTTGAGCAATATTCGGCATCTCACGGACAATAATCTTGCTATGCCACTCATAACCAGTGCAGTCAATAAGTGTATACTATTACAAGATATTATGTACACATATGTCTTTTTTCTTTACTTCTATACAAACAGTGCACTAAGGCTCATAGATATTACTATTACGAGTTGTTCAATACATATATATGTTTGCTTCTTTACTTCTAGTCATACCAACATCAGGGCGGTACTGCTATGCTAGATACTACTATTATTACAGATATGGAAACTATTATTACTGTACCTCGTATTTGTAAGTACTACAGATACAATTATTACTGTACCGCGTATTTGTAAGTACTACAGATAAAATATGACACTGTGGTAAACATTTAAATCCAAATAAAAAATTGAAGTTGAACGCGATGTCGAACAGAGTATACCCTACATTTGTGAAAAAGTAGGATACATAGGTACATGTAAAGAAGAAATGTTTATTTTCCATTTAATGGTCCCAGAGGAGCTCAGAGCCATATCGGACATTACTTTAGAGAAAAATCCGAGTAACAATTTTATCATGGATTACATCGATATGTACAAGTCATATGATTGATTTAAGAATTCAATGCTTCTTTTTGTAAATTTATTGGGGTGTAAAAGCGTTGACCGAAGTACATTTTGTATGAGGCGCGGAAGCGCTTCATTCTAAAAATGTTCGCACGGTAAACGCTTTTACAACCCTATAAAATTACTAATAGAAGCATTCAAAACTAATTATTACATTTTATTGCTAAGATCCTGAAAACACGATTTCTATCAAGTTTTTCTTTTATTTACCTGTGCACTTTATTGTGTCATCACGAATGTTACATTTCATTTTAAAATGAAAGTTAAGTTCAGAATGACCGAGATTAAACTGATTCAATGCTTTCATTATCACAGGTCAACTGAAGCCGTTGGGGATCAGTCATTGGTACAATCTTTGTACTGAAAACATACATTTGTATGATTACAATTAAGTCGAAAGCTGTCATTGGTAGAACCGTTGGACTGACAATATATTTTTTTATAAATACAGGTCAGTTGAATCATTGCGAGGATAGCCACTTCTGTAAACGTTTGACTCATAATGAGATTGAAAAAACAGAACCTTTGCAAAGGTAAAGTCACTGGTGTAATAAGTAGACTAATGAAATGGTTTTTTTTTATAACAGGTCAGTTGGAACCATTGCGGGGGCAGTCATTGGTGGAATTATCGGACTAGTTATTATAATTGCGATTGTTGTAGTAATATGTGCATCATGTTGTAAATCACAAGGAAGTCGTGGAACAGTAGTTCAACCACTACAAACAGCAAGTACCATCCATACTGTAACCACTATACCAGGTTACCACCACCGTAAGTATATCTCAGAGAAGTCATGGTACAGTAGTCCCATCAATACACACAGTAAGTTCCGCTCATACTGTAACCAATATACAAGGTTACCACCACCGTAAGTATATCTCAGAGAAATCGTGGTACAGTAGTCCCACCAATACACACAGCAAGTACCATCCATACTGTAACCACTATACCAGGTTACCACCACCGTAAGTATATCTCAGTCAAGTCGTGGTACAGTGGTCCCACCAATATACACAGTAAATACTTTCCATATTGTAACCACTATACCAGCTTACCACCGTAAGTATATCACATGGAAGTCGTGGTACAGATGTCCCACTAATACACACGGCAAAGACTGTTCATACTGTAACCACTATACCAGGTTACCACTGTAAGTATATTTCAGTGAGGTCGTGGTACAGTAGTCCCATCAATACACACATTAAATACTTTCCATACTGTAACCACTTTACCAGGTTACCACCACCGTAAGTATATCTCAGAGAAGTCATGGTACAGCAGTCCCACCAATACACACAGCAAGTTCCGTTCATACTGTAACCAATATACCAAGTTACCACCACCGTAAGTATATCTCAGAGAAGTCATGGTACAGTAGTCCCACCAACAGGCATGGGGTAATGCAAATTTGTAATTGTAATGCATGGTAATGCATTACATTTTTCCAAGTAATTGCATGTAATGTGTAATGCAGCAATTTGTGCATTACATGTAATTGTAATATAAAGCATTACTGTAGCAAAAAGTTGTGTAATTTCATGCATTACATGGCATTACATGTCATTACTTTCACATACTACATCTTTAACATATTGTTGGAGTTTTAACTAAACCAAATTTAAGATTTCTTGATTAACTAAGAATATGTTAATCATTAGAATATATTTTTTATTTCATCTTATTTCATACATTTTCCTGCATAAAAAGATTGATATTTGAAAAGCATAACTGTATTGTTGTCATAAGATCAAAGAATATCTTGTCTTGCTTAAATAAAAGATAATTAAACTTTGTTATAAAACACTAATTAGTTTGTTTTACAATCAATATTTTCACCATTTAGACAATTGTTCATTAATTAAGGTCTATGTTTATTTTATAATTAGGGAAGTAATTCACAGTAATTAAATATTTCGTTTAAAATAAAAAAAAAAACAACAAAACGTATATTTATAAAAGTAAAGTCAACATTAAGTTAAAATAATTAAAATTGTAAAAGTCGAATTAAATAGACTTTTTACATGTATACTTATATTCAATTCATGGAACAGCTACTGCATATGCTAGAATCTTTTGTGACTTCTAGTTGTTTTTCAAAATATTTAATTTTTCTATTCACTTAATAAAATTTTCAAATGTAATGTGTAATTCAAGGCATTACTTTGCAAAAGTAATTGTAATATAATGATTTACTTTGATAAGTGCATGTAATTGTAATTGTAATATAATGCATGGTTTGGTCAAAGTAATTGTAATATAATGCATTACATTGCAATGTAATTCGCCCCATGCCTGCCCACCAATACACACACTAAGTACCGTTCATACTGTAACCAATATACCAGGTTACCACCACCATAAGTATATCTCAGAGAAGTCATGGTTCAGTAGTCCCACAAATACACACAGCAAGTACCGTTCATACTGTAACCAATATACCAGGTTACCACCACCGTAAGTATATCTCAGAGAAGTCATGGTACAGTAGTCCCATCAATACACACAGCAAGTACCATTCATACTGTAACCAATATACCAGGTTACCACCAACGTAAGTATATCTCAGAGAAGTCATGGTACAGTAGTCCCACCAATACACACACAGTAAATACTGTCCATACTGTAACCACTATACCAGGTTACCATTGTAAGTATATCTCAGAGAAGTCGTGGTACAGTAGTCCCACCAATACACACAGTAAATATTGTCCATACTGTAACCACTATACCAGGTTACCACCACCGTAAGTATATCACAGAGAAGTCATGGTACGTTAGTCCCGTCAATACACACAGTAAATACTGTCCATACTATAACCACTATACCAGGTTACCACTGTAAGTATATCTCAGAGAAGTCATGGTATAGTAGCCCTATCCAATACACACAGTAAATACTGTCCATACTGTAACCACTGTACCAGGTTACCACTGTAAGTATATCTCAGAGAAGTCGTTGTACAGCAGTCCCATCAATACACACAGCAAGTTCCGTTCATACTGTAACAACTATACCAAGTTACCACCACCGTAAGTATATCTCAGAGAAGTCGTGGTACAGTAGTCCCATCAATACACACAGTAAGTTCCGTTCATACTGTAACCACTATACCAGGTTACCACCACCGTAAGTATATCTCAGAGAAGTCATGGTACAGTAGTCCCACAAATACACACAGCAAGTATCATCCATACTGTAAGTATATCTCAGAGAAGTCGTAGTACAGCAGTCCCACTAATACACACAGCAAGTACCGTTCATACTGTAACCAATATACCAGGTTACCAGCACTGTAAGTATATCTCAGAGAAGTCATGGTACAGTAGTCCCATCAATACACACAGCAAGTACCATTCATACTTTAACCATTATACCAGATTACCACCACCGTAAGTATATCTCAGAGAAGTCATGGTACAGTAGTCCCACCAATACACACAGTAAATACTGTCCATACTGTAACCACTATACCAGGTTACCATTGTAAGTATATCTCAGAGAAGTCGTGGTACAGTAGTCCCATCAATACACACAGCAAGTTACGTTCATACTGTAACCACTATACCAGGTTACCACTGTAAGTATATCTCAGAGAAGTCATGGTACAGTAGTCCTATCAAAACACAGCAAGTTCCGTTCATACGTCACCACTATACCAGGCTACCACCACCGTAAGTATGTCTCAGAGAAGTCGTGGTACAGTAGTCCCATCAATACACACAGTAAGTTCCGTTCATACTGTAACCACTATACCAGGTTACCACCACCGTAAGTATATCTCAGAGAAGTCGTGGTACAGTAGTCCCACCAATACACACAGTAAGTTCCGTTCATACTGTTACCACTATACCAGGTTACCACCGTAAGTATTTCTCTGGGAAGTGCATAGTATTTCATATTTGTTACTCAAAGAAGATGCAATAAAATAAATTTCTAAGTATAAAAAAACATAATAAAAACTATACACTTGTTTTCTTAAAGTCTGATTTCTATATTTTCCTTTGAAACGATAAAACCCCCAAGGGTGACTGGGGAATAGAAATATGGTCACTACAGGTCTTCTTCCGACCGGCAGTAAAACCCTTGCCAAAGTGGGGCGTCCGTTTGGCTGTGCAGGATGTATCAAGTACGCAGCCACGTCCGGTCAGAATGGGGACGTTAAATCCGATGCCTCGTGTAGAGAGAGTGTCACGCTCTCTGCACGTTAAGAACCCTTGCAACAACTCTTTGAGGGGTCCGTAGGTGGCCTGTTGCAAGGCTAAATTTGTGCCCTTATCCAATATACCCTCATTTTCCCGTGGCAGTCCAAAGTTTCTCGACCTGCAACCCAGTTGACCTCTATTACCGAACCTACCTATTGTATTTATTGTTAATTTGTTCTCGTCCTGAACATGCATGAAATATTTGGCACTGGACGTTAAGCAACCAACAATCAATCAATGAAACGATAAATTACAAAAAGTTTACCTCCTCTGAAAGTATTTAATCAAGAATGTATTCAGACTTTCGGGGTATCATCAACGTCAATTTTTAAAACCGCTTGTAATAGAGGTCTGTGACATACAGTAGTGCATTTGTCACATTAGAAACTACTTAACCATGATTGAATTCAGACGTGTCGGGTATCATCAATGTTCTAAAGCGAGTTTAACAGATAAGAGGTCTGTGACAGTGTATTTTCGGTAAATACTCGTTCGGAGGTTTTTATTAGACAAGCCGAGTATCACTAGTGTTCTTAAGTTGTAAAATAAGAATGCTTACATGAGTTTGCTCACTAAAAGTCCTTTTAATATTTGTTTTGTATCGTATCACAGCTAATATTAAAACCATTATAACTCATTTTGTTTTATAGCGCCACCACAGTATAACAACATGTATTATAGCCAGTATCCGCCAAACGTGTATTCCGCACAGCAACCAAATACTAGTATGGCATACCCACCATCAATCAGACAACATATGGCATCAGCACCACCTCCGTATCCTAGTACAGTAAATAATACAAATATGAAAAATAATCCTGGAGGATCTTTTCAAAGACAACAAAACATGCCGGCTATTCCCGAAAATGTTCCAGTTGAATCACCAGCAGCTGTAACAAATGTTTCTCCAACAAATGGAGCAATTATAACTGGACCACCGCCAACCGGAACAAACCTGCTTTCTACGTCAGGAATTCCGGATTTAGATGCTCCACCGTATCCAGGAACTATATCAAGAGATGCTTAATTTTTTGTGACTGTTCTTTCTTAAACTTTTGTATTCTAAGGAAGGGCAAATTGATAGTAATAAACAACTATTGTGGTATGATTTCCATGCACACACTAGTGTTTCTGGAATACCAGTGTTTCTGCAATACCGATAATCTTCACTAGCGTTTCTGGAATACCGATTATCTTTACTTGTTTGTTACAACAGGAAAGGTCAAACATATTAAACATTTCTGAGCATAAAAAACAAAACGAGGCAAAACCAGAACAGCCAACCGCCTCCAGTGATTTTAACATGAGCGTGTTTTAATCTTAAATCTAGCACAACTAAATATACTTCTTATGTTATAATTTTATAAATTTTGTGAATGTACAAATAAAACTATTCATTCAATTAATGTTATTACTTGGTTGCAGGTAACCTCAAATGTTGATAGTTCACCATGTGACGATTTAAACAAATTTTATAAATACCCAATGTTCTAGCTCTTATTTGGTTCGAGTGTAACTGATGACTCTTTTGAAGACGAAGTGCGCGTCTGGCGAACAATTTTTGTTATCCTGATATAATGAATTTATGTGATAATTTATTAGAGACAGAGGGAACGTTAAAATTAATTTATTTGTTGCTATTTTTAGAACGAACTTGTGTTCTCATTTTTAATAATGGTGTGACTTTAAATTAAAATAGGTTTATTAGTGATAAAGTTGTATAGTTGGGTTGCTGTGTATTTTAAAAAATCTCCTTCTATTCACACACAAAAAAAATCATTATTTTTTTTTATGAATATTGATCTTTTTAAATCGACACCTTTTTCATGCACCAGTTATATAGGCTCAAGTACAGAATATAATTTTACAGCCCATAATTTATCAAGTAAAAGCTTTGAACTATGAATTTAAAGGTAGTAAATGTATTTAAATACATCTTCATTTATTGATTTTGAATATTTACACTAAAGGTAAACATTCGCATAAACAAAAAAAGAAATTGTTTTGTAAACAAATTCTTGAAGAAGTCAAATTATGAATTTTCTTTTTAAATTAATGTACAGTTTACTGTGGATTTTAGTAAGAAATGGTAAGTTTGTACTTTTTGTTTAGTATAATAATTATAATGTTTGTTTACTATAATAGTTCTAATGAATCTATTCTATATAAGTATTGGATGTAAATGCGTAAAAACAAGACAATTGATTGTATGATTGTTGTTTACTTTACGTCCAGTAGCAAATATTTCATGCATGTTCAATAGAACAAATTAACAATGATTACAATTGGCAGGTCCATTAATAGGAGTCCACCGAGATGAAGAATGGCAAAATGGTTGATTGGTTGATTATAATTGTTTGTTTAGCGTCATATACAGTTCATGCATGCTCAAGACAAGAACAAATTGATAATTATTTCAAAAAGAAGGTCTTGCAATAGGGGTCAACTGAGTTCAAGGAATCGGGAAACTCGGAATGCCACTTGAAAGTGGTGGAATATTGGATAAGGACTGAATTTATCCTTGCAATAGGATACCTACGGACCCATCAAAGATATAAGAGGGTCTGGATGGGGGTCCTCCATTTCTGTATTGTTTAATTTTACAATCTTTTTTTCTCTATTCTTTATACTTTTTGCTCATTATTCTATATTCTTTATATTTTAGCACCTCATTATTCTCTATTCTTTATGCCTTTTTGCCATTTTTCTCTATTCGCTATATTTTTTGCATATTATTCTCTATTCTTTATGCCTTTGTGCCTTTGTGCCATTTTTCTCTATTCGCTATATTTTTTGCATATTATTCTCTATTCTTTATGCCTTTGTGCCATTTTTCTCTATTCATTATATTTTCTATAGATATAAGAAGATGTGGTATGAGTGCCAATGAGACAACTCTCCATCCAAGTCAAAATTTATAAAAGTAAACCAATTATAGGTCAAAGCACGGTCTTCAATATGTAGCCTTGGCTCACACCTATTTTTTGCCTATTATTCTCTATTCTGTAAATCTCCATAAAATTCATGATATTTTATCATTATGTTTCAGTCAGTCCATTGCAAGCTAAAACTTGTTATTCTGCATATACATATTACCATGGCTCGTACTACGAGGAAAAATGTACTTCTTACTTGTAAGTTACATAAATACTCAGAAACAGTGGCGAAGTTGCTTTTCAAAATTCAGAATAGCGTACACAGACTAAGTAACCACCGTTTCGGATTCAATTCAGGCCGAATTTTTTAACTTTTGAATTGTTGCACATTTGTTATCCCGTTGTCTCCTATAGACGAAATTACTCGGATTGAGTTTGTTTTAATCATTATTGAAGGCGGAGTGGTGATCTGCAAAGATAATCACATCCTAGGTAAAAAATGTCTCATAGGCAAACATGTGCAACTCCTTGTTTCAATAAATTCACCGAACCCCCCTTTTTTGGACGATCAATGCATTTGTATGGGGACAAAATGTTGGACCCCCCCCTTTTGAAAATGGCTGGATCCGCCCCTGGCTTCGTAAAATGCAGTGCATATTCAAATGAAAGTTATTTTTAAGTTAACCATCATGTATCACTGGGAATAACCTGGTGATAATAACGTAGGTTTACTATAATCCCAAGAAGGCGGATGCCGACAACGGTAAGGGGACGACCATTTAACTCTAAAAAAAGAAAGGATTATGTTTTTTTTAATAATTATTATGTCCCAACTTTGAAGAAATTAAAATATTTTAATCAGAAATATATCAAACATTCTAGTTTTTGCCATAAAATCAATGGTCAGTTCTTAAATACTAATAGTACGAAAAAACAAAATCAGAATGAAAAAAAAAAGGTTTAAATTATAAATTATATGGTCATTTTTTATAAATTTACTGTTTGCAAAAGTATGAATTATACGAAATACTTAGGATTTTCTTATCCTAGGCATAGATTACCTTAGCCGTATTTGGCACAACTGTTTGGAATTTTGGGTCCTCAATGCTCTTCAACTTTATACTTATTTGGCTTTCTAACTAATTTGATATGAGCGTCACTGATGAGTCTTATGTAGACGAAATGCGCGTCTGGTGTATCAAATTATATGCCTGGTACCTTTGATAACTAATTATCTCCCTTCTCGCCTCACGTTTCCTAAAATGATTGTGTTGGAATTTTTCCCCTCACTGTAACGGTACTTTTTCAAGCATATTTTCTAACGTGATATAAATTAATGTGTTTATTTTGAATTGCTAGAATCGACATATGTACGGACCAGCGAATGGTATAACAAGTTGGACGGATTTTATTTTGCCCTCTTGAATGATGTTATTGGTTCTCTTTTTGAACGTATTTGAAATATTTGTCGGTGAAAACACTATTTTATACAATTATTCAAAGCTCTATATATATAACATATAATGGTACATTCAAGATTTTGAACTTGAAAAGTACTAATTAAACAACGCGGGTAGGTTAAAGCGGTTTTAAATCGATTTTTGGTGATTGCATCGGAATCTCATCTATTACTTATCTTCACAAGTGCATCAATATATAAGAGTTTGATTTCTGTGTTTTAACGCCACTTTTAAGCACCACTTTTGGGCTATTTCGTGGCGGCCAGTTTTTATTGGTGGAGGAAGCCGTAGTGCCAGGAGAAAACCACAGACCTTCGATAGGAAAACTGACTATCCTAGTCAACTAAGATTGGAGTCGAGTGCACACGCACGAGCGGGGTACGAACTCGCTAGTGATTACAGTAGTAACTTCTTATAAAAAAGAAGATGTGGTATGATTGCCAATGAGACAACTCTCCACAAGAGACCAAATAGCACAGAAATTAACAATTATAGGTAACCGTACGGCCTTCAACAATGAGCAAAGCCCATACCGCATAGTCAGCTATAAAAGGCCCCGAAATGACAAATGTAAAACAATTCAAACAAGAAAACTAACGGCCTAATTTATGTACTAAAAAATGAACGAAAAACAAATATGTAACACATCAACAAACGACCACCACTGAATTACAGGCTCCTGACTTGGGACAGGCACATATATACAGAATGTGGCGTGGTTAAACATGTTAGCGAGATCCCAACCCTCCCCTAACCTGAGACAGTGGTGTAACAGTACAACATAAGAACGAACTATAAAAATCAGTTGAAAAAGGCTTAACTTATCAGATGAATACAAATAGAAATACATCTAACAAAAACACAGAGTGGATGTGGCGGGGTACTTGTATATCCCAACAACAAAAAGACACTAAGTACAGATCTGAGAGTACTCGCAGTTACTGACAGCTAGTTCAAAGCCACTAACAACTAATAAAAAAAAATCATGCATCTAAGACTAAATTATCAATCAGTACACATCCAACATCAAATGGATTTAGTGTAAAGACGTCATAAACAGCAAGAGAAACACATGACCTTGTGCAATGCCAAGATACAGGTATCGACAGATTGTAGATCCATGAAATTCATTGTGTATATGTATACAACAATAATATTTAGTTTGCTTTTAGTTTACTGATAACAAAATCAATATTAATACCAATAAAAACAATATTCAATGATCTAATTACAGTGTTGAATTGGTAACCTTTTAGAATAAGTTTATTTAAAGGATCGATAAGTTTACCAGGATCGTTTCTAAATTTCTGGGCACGGTAAACAACATCTCCGTAAAAATGAGGATGTGCTATCCCGTTTGAAATAAGTTTTCTAGAGGTACAACCAAAATTCAAAACCAAATCTTCATATCTATGGAAGAATTTAGTAAAGGTTTTAAGTAATTTGTGGTAACGAAATCCCTGGCTTAATAATTAACCAGTAATACATAGATTACGTTCGTTAAAATCAAAAACGTCACAACAGACACGGGCATAGAGAACGAGTTGTGAAATATAGACCACTCGGACACTGAGGCCCCTATAAAAGTTTGAGGAATTATATATAAACTGTATCTTTTAAGGTCTATACCATTGATTGCCGTTGCAGTTATAGGAAGCATAATTGGTTTTGTAATAGTGCTAGCCATCATTGTATGTATGCACAACATGTAATAACCGGGAATTATTTGTTCAACCTATCCATACAGTACATACATTACATAGAGTGTATAATGGTCAAGCAATGAGTCGTAAGTATCAACTTATTTATACAGTTCTTTCAATACATAAGGTGTATAATATACTAGAAGCTAGTAGTGAGTATCCTTACAGTTCATAATATGATACATGTACATAAAATGTATAATATACCAGAAGTGAGTAGTGAGTATCTTGTAAATTCATTCAATAAATAAGGTCTATATACCAAATAAACTTATCATAGATACCAGGATATAAATTTTGTATTTGCGCCAGACGCGCGTTTCGTCTTCAAAAGACTCATCAGTGACGCTCGAATAAAAAAAATTAA